AGGGTGGAATCAAACCTGGGTCCCTGGTGCTGTGAGGCAGCAGTGCCAACAACTGAGCCACCATGCCACCCCTATCAGTCATTGATGTTTATTTATTGTCAGTAATTGGTAATGTGGTGATGTGGTTGACCGCCTAGTTCTGAACCAGAAGCCCTGCATTTGAGTCCACTCCAGTACTTAATGGTCACGGAAGTTGTGTATATAATATGGTGAAACAGGTTTATGATCAGCCTGAAAATCTTTCCAATATGGCCATGGTGAGCAATAAGAGTGGAAGAGTTTCCTGGTCAGCAAGAACCCTATTGTAGCAGCAGCTACAAAAGCCTCCCCACATCATTAAAAGACTCCATGTACAGGTTTTGGCATAAGCTGTACATCAGGGTATGTAACCTCCTCACTTTGAAGCTCAGACAATCATCATTATGAATGATTGAAGCAGGATACATTACAGGTGTGGTTTGAACATCAACTTATCATTCTATCAGTTTCTAAATAACAGAATAAATAAACTGATATCTGATCAAAATGTTAATTTGTATCTCTCATACCTCTTCAGAGAGATTTAGAGTGGAATATACTTTGAAACTGTCTCTTCTGAACAGTAATTAAGTGTAGTGACTTGCAAATTTTCTGTTTTGCTCAATAAATATATAGCTTAATTCTGCCACTTGCATGGAAGAAAGTCCTGTCATGTTTCATATCTCCTGTCATTCGAACTGGACCTGGTCACGGAAAAGCTTCAACCATCTTCTCTTATGTTTTTAACTATGGCTTGCTTTGTTGTTCTTCATTTTTGTCTTTAGTGATTATCCACAACTGTATAACCTTTACCTCAGTTTCACTTCTGGCACAATGTTTCCTGTGTACAATGCAGTAACATGTTCAACACAAGGACATTACTGAGGCGAACTTCAGGTGACTGCCTTCAGTGTGTGTGCCACCTCATAGAAGCCACATGACTATGGCAGACTAGGAAGGACATTTATACATGATTGCCTTTCAATCCAAACAGACTGCTGTTGAAAACTCTCCTCTCTGCACTTTAACCTGCCACTATCCCAGTCTATATTCAGGTAATTAAAGCTCCCCCTTGTAACTATTCTAGAATTCTCGCTGGGATATCCTTGTAAAATTTGTTTCTACATCCTTCCTACTAGTTGATGGTCTTTAAACAACACTGAACAGTGTAAACGCACAGTCTTTCTTCCTTACCTCTATCCAAATTGTTTCTGTCCTTGAACCCTTTGAGATATTGTTTTCTTCAGCAAGGTAATTTTCTCCTTAATCAATACCACCAACCCTCCCCTTTTTACTCCTTGTACACGGCAGAAGACCCCTCATGTACTATAATCTTCCTATGTGTCTGTGAAACTTAGCAAACAATAGCAGCCAATTTGCATACAGGAAACCCCCACAAACAACTAAGCAATAACATAGAAAACATTGTAGATAGGAACAGGAGTAGGCTATTTGACCCCTTGAACCTGTTCCATCATTCATTATGACCTTGGCTGATCACTGAGCTCAAAACCTTATTCGCATCCTCCCCCCATATCCCTTAATTCTTATAGACGTAACAGCTATATCTACCTCCTTCTCTGAAAACACATAATTTTTGGCCTCAACCACTTTCTGTGACATTCCACAAACTCATCACTGTCTGGATGAAGGAATTTCTCCTGATCTCAGCTCTAAAAGGCCTTATCCTTAAACTATGAACCTCAGTTCTAGACATGCCCACCATCAGAAACATCGTTCCTGCATCTAACCTGTCTAGTCCAGTTAGAATCTTATTGGTTTCTATGAGATCTCCCTTCATTCTGCTAAACTCCAGTGAATAAAATCCTAACCAACTTAACCTCTCCTCATACGTCAGTCCTACCATTGCAGGAATCAATTTGGTAAACCTTCAGTGCACTCCCTCTGTAACAAGATCATCCTTCCCCTGATAAGGAGACCAAAACTGCTCGCAATATTCCAGATGTGGCCCCACCAATGCCACGCTCTGTATCACTGCAGCAAGATATCCCTGCTTCTGTACTCAAATCCTCTCACAATGAAGGCCAACAGAAAGTTTGCCTTCTTTACTGCCTGCTGCACCTGCACACTTACTGACAGCGACTGATGTACAAGGACATCCAAGACTCATTGAACATGCCCCTCTCTCAATTTACACCCATTCAAATAGTAATCTGCCTTCCTATTTTTGCTACCAAAGTGAATAACCCCACATTTGTCTACAGCGTAATGCATTTGCCTGCTCACTCAGCCTGTCCAAATCATACTGCAGCATCTCTGCATCCTCCTCACAGCTCACCCTTCCACCTAGCTTCGTGTCATCTGCAAATTTTGTGATGCAATATTTTGTTCCCTCATCTAAAGCATTAACATTTACTGTGCATGGCTGGTGTTCTAGTACCAATCACTGCAGTACCCCACTGATCACTGCCTGCCATTCAGAAAAGAACCATTTATTCCTACTCTTTTTTTCCTGTCTGCTAACCAATTTTCTATCCATCTCAATACACTACCCCTAATCCCATGCACTTTAATTTTACATGTCTGATTCTATCACTGATTTCTAAGTGCTGTGCTATAAAATCCTTGATAATGGACTCTAACATCTTCCTTACTACTTCTAAAAGTCAGATTGACTGGTCTCTAATTCCTTGTTTTTTTCTCTTTTTAAAATAGTGGAGCTATATTAACTATCCTCCAATCTGTAGGAACTGTACCAGATGATATTCATTTTGGGAGGAATAACAGCAAAAGGGACTACTATTTAAATGGTGAAAAATTGCAGCATGCTGCTGTGCAGAGAGACCCGGGTGTCCATGTACACAAATCACAAAATGTTGGTTTGCAGCAGGTAACTAATAAGGCAAATGGAATATTGTCCTTCATTGCTAGAGGGATGGAGTTTAAAAATAAGGAGGTTATGCTGCATCTGTATAGGACGCTAGGGATGTCACACCTGAAGTACTGTTCAGTTTTGGTTTGCTTACTAAGAAAGGATGTACTGGCACTGGAGGGAGTGTAGAGGAAATTCATTAGGTTGCTTCCAGAGGGTTGGCTTATGAGGAGATATTGAGTAGACTGAGATTATGCTCATTGGAATTTAAAAGAATGAAGGAGGATCTTATAAAAACATACAGCACTATGAAGGGAATAGATAAGATAGAAGTAGGGAAGTTGTTTCCACTGGTGGGTGAAATTAGAACTAGGGGGCATTGCCTTAAAATAAGGGGAAGCAAATCTCGGACTGAGTTGAGGAGGAAAATCTGTGAATCTGTGGAATTCCCTGCCCAGTGAAGCAGTTGAGGCTATCTTGTTGAATGTTTTTAAGGCAAAGATTTTTGAACAATAAAGGAATTAAGGGTTATGGTGAGCAGGTGCGTAAGTGGAGCTGAGTCCATGAGAAGGTCAGCCAGATGTAATTGAATGGCAGAGCAGTCTCAATGGCTCTATTCCTGCTCCTATTTCTCATGTTTTTATGATCTGTTTTCGTGAAGTTAATTCAGGAATAAATATTGGCCAGGTAGAACCTCTATTCTCATTTAAAATACTGTAATGGGATCTTTTATATTGACCTGAACAAAGCAGTGAGGCCTCGGTTTAATATCTCATCCAAACAGCAGCATCTCTGACAGTGCAGCATCCCTACAATACCGCATCTATGTGTCAACTTTGATTTTTGTATGCAAACCCTAGACTAGGACATGAACCCAAAAGCTAGTGCTCCCAAATCAGGAAAGGCTGATATATGTATAATGTGATGTTGAGACTATAGACAGTGAAATGGATGGTGCTTGTTTGTTTTTGTGCAGCAATTTCCACACTTCTGACAAAGAGACAGCCACAACCAAGATCCAATAGCTGTACATTCGACTTGGAGAAAGTGAGATAAGTTAAAGGAAAAGTTTCTCAAAGTGAGATCGAGCTCAGCTAGGTGAAGGAGGGTGGTGTTGGATGGTGTTCAGGCCTCTTTTCACGGATGTGTTTGCACATACATGGTGAACAGGAGGTGACTAGGGCCAGAAAACTCCCTCCTCACTATCCAAGTTCTTATTCACACCTTCCAGGCAAAGGCAGCATTTTATTTCTATTTCTGTTTCTAGTTTGCTGCATTCGCTGCTCATAATGCTGTTTCTTTTGCTTTGGCAAGACTAAATGTAGACTAAGTAACCACTTTATAGCACACCTTCACTCTCTCTGTAAGAATGACCCTGTCCTTCCAGTTACTTGTCATTTCAATAAAACACCTTGCTCTCAAGCTATATTTCTATCCTGGGCCTGCTACTATGTTCCAATAAAGCTCAACACAAGTTGGAGGAACAACACTTCATTTTCCACATAGGTGCTTTGCAGCATCTAGGACTCAACGTTGAGTTTCCCAACTTCAGAGCATGACCTCCGTCCTCCACTTTTATTACATTTTCACGCTTCTCCCTCCAATCCTCCAGCCCTGCTCCTGCCCCAGTAATGTCTTATTTTTGTCTTGCTGTCTTTGCTCTCAACAGAGTAGACCCATTTTTTCCTTTTCACGCTTTCATTTGCCTCCATTTTATACCTATTTATCTTTTACCACCATTAGCAATGCCGTTGAATTTGTTTTGCACACCCGCACAATCTGTTTCACTCGCTGTGATCAGATCTTTGCTCTTACAGCTACAGACTGTCAACTGCCTTCGTCTTATCCCTTATTATTATCCCATGCTATTGAGCAGAAATAACTAACAGAAATGGTTACAGTAACACTATTTTAGCCACATGCATTATTTTAGAAGCTTTAAACACACAACATAATGTAGGCAAAACTACCTATCCATGTGCATGTCTACATGATAAACATCTACAACTGCTCAGTTACCAAGTAACTAAAGCTCTCAGCAGAAACCAAAAACATTTGATCACTGCTTTCCATCTCATTTAATGAACAAGTGCACAAAGATTCATGGGCAGACACTGTAAGCTAAAGATCACAGCCCTGAAGCAAGTTCTGTTATGTATTGTTTTTATTTATGAACGACAAATACAATTAGTCACCTTTAGTTGGTGGCTAAAACATTGCAGGATTACAGACTCTTTTGCAACCATCAACGAATGGACCACTGCTGGTAAAGACACTTTGTCAGGGAGAGAAAAAGTCACAAATCCACTGATCGCCCATTCAACCAGTTAGGACACATTGGCCACTTCTGTGGCTGTAGCACCAGCACATTGACTCGGAGTCAGAAGGGGTTGCGTTTAAACATCACTCCGGAGACTAAAACCCATAATCTAGGCTGACACGCCAGTATAGCATTGTGCTTTCTCCCTTGAGTGAGACATAAACCTATCTTGCTTTCTTTCCACAGTATTTATCTATGAAAGAATAGGTTATTTGAATGGATAGATATCAGGGTTGGTATTCTTGAACATGACTGACAGGTCACCCAAAGTTCTCAGTGATTTCCAGTATCTTCTGTGCTTACTTTTGTTTAATTTTTTTCATCGGATATGGTTGGCACTTGTGCAGTGAACGTTTATTACCCATCCCTAAATGCCCTTATGTGAATGAATTATTATTTCATTATAAGTTGATGTTTATTAATGAAATGGCACAGTTATACTAGTGACCACACTCACTCTACATTGCTGCCTGTCTGTGGTGATATGGCTGACTCGGAAAATGAACAAAAAGGTGTTGTAACAGTCCTTCCACTTCACATTTGAACACACAGACACATTTCTCACATTATATTGTGTGGATAAAGTGTAGAAATAAAGGTGAGCATCTATAATGGAACTGTAACAAATTTTTCGTTCATTTAGGGCAGAAAATTGGGCAGGATCCATCATGCAAACCTGCCATCTAATTTATTCTTGCATTCCGCGGAGGAGTTTGTGAGTTTGCCAATTCTTTATCTGCTCAATAGCTAAAAGGGACTGTTTCTATACTGTGTGACTCTGTGAAGCTAATACAGATGTGTAATAACCTCGAAAATTCACTTCTTTCACATTCCAATTTTACAGAATCTTCCATTCTCCCTTTCTCAGTTCAAGAGAAGGGAATTGAAGTCAAGATATGTCAACCTTCATGAGGATTGACTGACTCAGCAATGCACCCACTTACCCCAGCACGAGGTGGGCAGAATGTGTTTTTCTCCCATTTCCAAATGGGAATGTTTTCCTCAGGCACACTGCTCACCAACAATCTCAGAGAATTCATATAGAGCTGATTAAATATAATTTCAGTTAATATCATGACTCAAATCCATGACCATCTGGTTGGGCAGTCACTGATGTTGGTTAGTGACTGTCCATTGATGTTGTAAAATAACTAGTTATTACTAGGTCATTGTCCGTGATCATCATTACATCTTGTAAATGGTTTGGATCAATGTCACTCTCACTCATCCTGAGTGGGAGTTGAGATCTTGCAGCTTATCAATATCATTGTCTTCCTTGACTCTGATCCACCAAGAATTGGCCTGAATTGTTAATGTTTTCTGTCGGATTTGGCATGTGTACAGCCCCTCATTAAACTCGTTTGCTACAATGCTGAGATCCTGGTTTTTCACAATGAAGTATCCTGGCACTGAACTGGTCAATAATTCTCCATCCTTGTACCAACTGAAAGAAACAAGCCAATTGCTAATTTTCGGAGCAGGACAAGGAAAACCTGCATTTATTTAGCACAATGTTATGCAAAAGAAAAATTCTAGGAGAAATCTTAAGTGAAACACATCATTCACTTTACACAACATCCACAAACAATAATGAGATGAATAGATAGTTTGCTTTTGTTTTTAAGAACAAAAAGCTTGGGTGGGTTGTAATGAGGCATCCTACCTCAGATATAAGTAAAATGATACCACAGGTTGCTCAATAATCACATGAACATCACATGATAGACATTGTGCTAGATATGGAATCAATGAGGACGTCTTGTGGGCAGTGTCCTTGCCTCGCAGCCAGAAGATCTAGGTTCAAGTTGCACTCCGAGACCTTTTGGTCAAGGAGGGTGTATTCAGAACCCAGCCTAATAGGTCGAAAATCAAACAGGAAACACTTCCAAAACAGAACAGGGGCAGTAAGTCCAGGGAACAATGGATGTCAAGGGATATTGAGAGTTTGCTAAAGAAAACAAAGGAAGTATATGTCAGGTATAGTGCATTACAAACAGGGAAATCCCTTCAAAAGTATAGAGAGTGTAGGAAGTTGCTTAAAAATGAAATCAGAAGGGCAAAGAGGGGCCATGAAATATCCTTGGCAGATGGAATCAAGGAAAACCCCAAGGCTTTTTGCAAGTACATTAAGAGTAAAATGATTGCAAGGGAAAGAGTAGGAGCTATTAGAGACCAAATGGGCAACCTGTGTGTGGAGCCTGAGAACATGGGTCGGGCCTTAAATAAATACTTCTCATCTGTATTCACAGAGGAGAAAGACATTCTAGCTGTGGATTTCAGTTGGGATGGTGAGGCTCTAAAATTCTAGAAGATTAATAAAAAGCCAATATTAGATGTTTTAGCAGGTATACAGGTGTATAAATTCCCAAGGCCTAATAAGATAAATCCCAGGCTGCTACAGGAGGCAAGGCAGAAGATTGCTGGGAGATCTATTTAATATTTCACTGGCCACAGGCAAAGTGCCAGATGACTGGGGGATAGCTAATGTGGTTCCTTTTTTTCACCCAGAGGATAGTAGGTATTTGGAACATGCTGCCTGAAAGTGTGGTGGAGGCATGTACTGTTGCAACATTTAAGAAGCATTTGGATGATCACTTAAAATGTGAGGGCATAGTAGGCTATGGACCAAGTGCAAGTAAATGAGATTAGTTAGTTTGGTGTTTGTTGGCTGGCATAGACATGGTGGGCTGAAGGGCCTGTTTCTATGCTATATGATTCTGACTAAGAAAGCCCAGGAGAGATTCCTGGTCAACTATATAAGGGAAAGAACCTTGGAGCCTCTCATATCACTATGCGTTGTCTACAACATGCATGTAAAAGTGCATGTGCCACAGCAATGTGGACTCCCTGCATAATCCATAACATGTGGAAGTGATCTATTGGTGATGGCTTTGTAGCTCTGCTTTCAGCTGGGTTTTAGAAAGAACAGAAGAGGCGTATTTATTTAACACTTATGGCTTTAGGACATTTTAAAATGCATCATAGACAGGTAATTTGCATAAGAGGTCCTACAAGTGGCAACCAGTTAATGACCAGGTCGTCCGTTTTAATGTTGGTTGACAGCTAAGGCATTTGCTCTTCTTCCATACCGCTGTTAGATCTCTTATATCCAACTGAGGGCTAACGTGACCTTGATTCAATGCCTCATCCAAAAGCCGGTATCTCTGACAGTACAGCATTCCGACAGCACTGCACTGGGACACCAGTCTGTGATCCGTGATCAGGTCTCTGGTGTGTGTTTCAAACTGACAATTTCCTGGCTCAGAGATGATACTGCCATACATGAACTGCAGTTTTACTCTCAGGTCAGTATCACAATAATTGCACAGGAATACATTAGAATTGCTATATAAACCCATGTTGCTGTTGTGTTGTTGTATTACTATTATCAGAGGGAGGAATGGTCAGCTGGCCACTTGGACAATTCACTGCCATTCTTTAATTATGGTATATGAATATAGCAGGGTTTCACGGCATTAATGGACAATTACAATATATTGATTCAATTAAACTCACCTGACATTGAGGGGAGTTGCATGTGAGAGAGTTTTTCCACATCTGAAGGTCACTATACGACCTTTGGACACATATTTCATCCTGACATTCTGAGGGAGAGCAGTGGTTGTAACTGCTGTGTCTGGTGGTTCTGAATGTAAATGAAGAAAATCTGTTACAAAGTCAAGACTGCATACTTCTCCAGCAACAAGTTAATTATCAATGGTCAACTGCCCAGTTTACTTGAAATTGGACCTATTTTAAAATCTGTTCATGGGATGTGGGCATCACTGGCATTCTTTGTCCATCTGTAATTACACGGGAGAGGGTGAGCAGACTAGTTAAACCTCTGCAATCCTTGAGTGTGGGGATATCCACAGTGTTGTTAGGATACAAGTTTTAAGATCTTCACCCAGCAGCAATAAAGGAACTATAAAATAGTTCCAAATCAGGATGTGGAGGGACTTTGAAGGGGAACTTATAGGTTTTCCCATACACCTGCCCTTACCCCTCTTTGTGGTGAAGGAAGTGAATGTTGAAAATGGTGGATGTGGTGCCAATCAAGGCAGCTACTTTGTCCTGCATGTGGTTGAGCTTGAGCATTGTTGGAGCCGCATTTATCCAGGAAAGTAGGGAGTATTCCATCATACTCCTGACTTGTTGGGAGACTTCAGCATTAGGAGCCATGAATCTAAAATTCAAACCAGGCTATTCAGAGGTAATGTCAGGAAACACCTCCAAGATGGCGACGAAGTATGGTGACTCTTTGCGAGCTCTCTACAACAGATCTTATTCTTACATATCTTACAATCGTTCTGCTCTTTTAAAACTCAATTCTAAGCCCGTTAAAATGACTAACAAGGTCCCCTTAATCTCCATAGACTCGATCTATATTTCTCACTACTTTGGGAAGGAAGCCAACATAATGAAAGACCTCTCCCAACCTAGTTATAATATCTTCCATCCTCTTGTCGTGCAGAAGATAGAAAAGCTTAAACACGTGCCAACAGATTCAAAAACAGCTTCTTCCTCGCTTCCAGTAGACTTCTGAATGGAGCTCTCAAATTTTAAATTTTATGTTGATCTCACTCCTTGTGCACCTTCTCTGCAGCTGTAATATTGTATTCCTCACTCTGTTCTATTACCTTAATGCACTTTGAATGGTATGATTATCCTTTACTGCACACAAAACAAAACTTTTCACGGTACGAGGTATATGTGGCAATAATAAATCAAATCAGATCAAATAAAACACTTGTAAAAGTTGGGAACTCACCCAAAGTACTACCAAGACCTTCTTAAAATGATTAAAATTTCCAAACTGAGACTGTTAGGAAAGGTTATTATGAAGCAAGTGGGCTACATGGAGCTAACACACCAATGAGTCATGATTGAATTGAGTAAGAGAATGGGCTTAAGGGGCTGAATGGCCTCCTCCATTGCAGTGAAAGCACCATGGATGAGGTAGGTAACATCATAGTCCCTAATCAAAACAGTTGGTCGGTCTGGGTTTCCAGTTTTTTTTAACCCTGTCCACCGGCAAAAACAGGGACTTGTTTAGTTGCAATAAACAAAGATTCCATGATGCAGAATTTCAGACCCCACTATGATTGCTCTGACTGAAAGATCACTATCATTGCAGATCTCAGGCTGAATTGGAGCTCACCAAAACACAGGTCACACACTTCAGGGCAATGTTTCTTCATGAAAGAGCGCCGTTTCTCACAGAATCCAAGACGAGCCCAGGGATCGCACAGTCTCTTCTTATCAATGCAACCTGTGTGGGTGGGACGAAGAGTATTACTGGAGGATGGCATGTTGTGGTTAATATACCAGGTCAGAGAGTGGAAAATCATCCAGGTTAATGTCACATGTGACTATCTCACAATCCAAAATGGCTGAGTTTGTTTAGAAACAAATTATACTCCAATGCCAGATCATCTTTAGCAACTCTATTAATGACCTTCTCTCCAATATAAGGCCAGAAGTTGGGATGCTCACTGATGATTGCATAATGTTCAGCAGCATTTGAAACCCCTCAGATATTGAAGCAGTCCATGTCCAGGACAATATCCAGGCTAGGGCTGACAAGTGGCAAATAACATTCACACCACATGAGTACCTGGTAATGACACTAACAAGACAGAATCCAACCATTGTTCCTTGACATTCCATATCATTACCATTGCCTAACCCTCCCCTATCAACATCCTGGGGCTTACCATTGACCAGAAACTGAACTGGATTCACCACATAAAAATTGTGGCTAAAAGAGCAGGCTATAAGTTAGGAATTCTGTGGTGAACACTCACTTCCTCTCTCCCCAGTGCCTGTCCACCATCTACAAGGCACAAGTCAGGAGTATAATGGAATTCTCCCCACTTGCCTGGATGAATGCGGCTCTAACAACACTCAAAAAGCCCATGAGGACTAAGCAGCCCAATTAATTGGCAGCCCATTGAAGACTTTCAACATTAACTCCCTCCACCACCCCGCATAGAGAAAGCAGTATGTATCATCTACAAGATGTACTGCAGTAGCCTACTAAGGCCCTTTGTATAGCATGTTCCAAACCTGCAAACTCCACCACTTAGAAGGACCAGGGCAGCTGATACATGGAAAACCACCTGCAAGTTTCCCTCCAAGTCACTCACCATCCTGACTTGGAAATATATCACTGTTCATCCACGGTCATTGGGTTAAAATCCTGGAATGCTAGCCCTAACCACATTATAAGTAACCCTTCCAAACATTGGGTACATCAGAAGGCGACTCAACTCTAACTTCTCAAGATTAATTAGGGATGGGCAATAAATGTTGGCCTTGCCAACAACTTTCACATCCCATGAGTGAATAAAAATATAGTAAACAGTGACCTGGGCAAGGGCCTCAGTTATGAACCTCTGGCATATAAAGGAGTCACACTTGCAGGAGTAAAGAACGAGAGAAAAACAGCAATGGAGGCTGTACATGAAATTATCATCTTTCCACTTCTTTTAATAAAAATTAGAAGTGAAAAATTATAATATGTTATGGAGACAACAGTGATTGGATAACTTTCAGGAAGGATGGGTCAAATGGCCTCCTTCACTTTAGTACGATACTGAGAAAAGGAAAATATTAGTATTTAATTAATACTCATAATGCTGACATATTTGCATAATCAGCAACATTGTATATGGAACAAATAACTACAAATATAGCATCATTGATCTAACCCATCACATGAACATTTACAATTCTCAGCAAGTCATATAGATGAGCAGGTAAGTGGCAGCTGCTGCAATAAAACAGGGCACAATCCCAGATGTTGCAATATTATAATTCTCACAATCTTTCCAATCTCAGAGACTGAAGCTGCTCATTTCTTGTTTTGGAAAATATATCATTATTTGACCTGTGAACACAGAATTTTCTCAGACAGAAGGAGATCACTCGGCTCATTCTCTCTGTACTGGCTCTCTGTCCAACTAGTTCCCATTCTCGCTTTGCTCTTTTTTGAAGTATTTATCTAATGCCCTTCCAAATGTTATCCTCGAATCATTTTCCCTTTTCAGGTAGCGCACTCCCATTTGTAATAAATAGTAATCATACCATACAATCTCTGGATTCCCCAGATATCATCCTGCGTGATCCTTCGTTGTCCTGTAAAGGTTGCATTGGGATGCATCAATGCACTCTCATTGCGGGAGTGCATTAGGCCTAATGCATGTCCAATTTCGTGAGCAGCTACCTGCACCAAATCATTGAGCCAAACACCTGTCAAAAGAGCACAGCAAAACCAATCAGACTCCAGCACAAAGGTGAGGGCCAAGATTAACAGAAAATGGCTAAATATTCTGTAAGAGCAGGAGACGCCCTTATGTCCAACATCTCAGTGGGTTAAACCCAGTAACTCATCTTCTAGTGCGAACCTTCGCTCTATCCTTGGAGTCTATAGGTTGAGGATTCAAGTCCAAATCCAGAGATAAGACAAGACAATTGAGGTTGGAACTCCCAGAGAAGTTCTGTACGTGTGACAGTATACTCACAGTGGCCTCACAGTCAGAGGCATTGTTTTTCAGTTAAACTAACACCCAGTTTGTGACAGATGAGGTGGAGAGCAACAGCCTCTTTCCTTGCTGCTATACATGCTGATGCAAAAATGTATAGAGGATTATCATGGAACCTTGCCAAGCCATCTTGAAAAGTCCCCCAACTTGTTCAGGGAAATCCACATTTGTGGAATGATCAAGTGGCTTCATCCAGAATGGCACCAGGGACCTGTGATGAAGTTTTTTTTTGTTGTCTTCAAAATTCTGGTACACTACTTTCAGAATATTGATTGCTTAATATCCAGTCGTCAACAAAAATCTCATTCTTGAAACTTTTAATTAACCTCCAATGGAGCAGCTATTTGGGAGAAAGTTTCTGATTTTCTTTGTGTAATGGAAGATATCCTGACATTGTGAAACAAACGCAGGAAGTGCTGGAGAAATTCAGCATGTCTGACAGCATCTGCAGAGAGTTAACCCTCAGTCCAATGTGACTCTCCTTCAAAACATCCTGACATCATCCCTGACAGCCTAATTCTCACTTTAATGTTATTCCCTACATATAAAGTCATTATATTGCAAGATAGATGGTGCAGTGGTTAGCAGTGCTGCCTCACAGCGCCAGAACGTGGGTTCGATTCCACCCTCGGGTGACTGTCTGTGTGGGTTCCCTCTGGTTTCCTGGCACAGTCCAAAGATGTGCCCGTAGTGTTCGATTAGGTGGATTTATAGGGGGATGAGTCTGGGTGGAATGCTCTGAGATTCAGTATGAACTTGTTGGGCCAAAGGGCCTGTTTCCACACTGTAGGGATTCTATGATATGCTTTAATATTTCCTGTTATTAATTCCTACTTCAAATACAGGAAAGGAGTGGCTGAGCCCATCTGCTCAGACTCTGATACATTTATGCACAGATTTCAAGATTCCACTGATTGCTTCCTCATGTTTTGCAATTTTTCTTGTCTGATCTGGAGCTGGACCTCCTCAGGGACCATCTCTTTGATGGCCAGCATAACGACTTGTCTGCATTATCAGAGCCAGGGAAGAGCAGTTGAAACTGGGACAAAGCAAATATGAAGGGGGGAACGCTGTTGGGGATCATTCTGAACTGCTCTGCACCTCAGAATGACAGATAATTGCTGTATATTGAAAAGTGCAATGTCCATTTTGTGACTTGAGGTGACCCCCTAGCTAGGCGACGTGGTGGCTCAGTGGTTAGCACTGCTGCCGCACAGCACGGGGACCAGAGTTCAATTCCAGCCTTGAGTGACTGTTTGTGTGAAATTTTCACGTTCTCCCCGTGTCTGTGTGGATTCCTGCTAGGTGCTCTTGTTTTCTCCCACAGTCCAAAGATGTGCAGGTTAGGTGGATTGTCCATGCTAAATTGCCCCGTGGTGTCCATGGCTATGCAGGCTAGGTGGGTTAGCCTTGGTAACTATGTGGTTATGGAGATCAGGTGGGATGCTCTTCAGAGGGTCAATACTGACTCAATGGGCTGAATGGCCTCTTTCCACACTGTAGTGATTCTATATTTTAACAGCATGTACAACTCAGTTTCTAACTAATTGTGACAGAATCTTACTGTTGCTACCCACAAAGTTTGCAAAAAATATGCATATTTTAGTAATGACCAGATGAGCATCTCAGCTGTGTTTTGAATTCGAACTATAAATTATCTTAGTCCCCACTGCAGAGGAGAGAGATGTGGGTCCCAGGTGCCTGACAGCACTTTCTAAATACCACAGTGAGAGTTTCAAACTGGACTGTGTGTTCAGGTTTCTGCAGCAGCATTAATACCCATTACCTCTTGATACAGAGGAAAGACTGCAACTCACTACAAAACGTTTAGTGTCAATACCTTGTTTCCAGCTGAACCGAGACTTGCCCAGAATCCAGAACTCATGATTGTCAAAGTGAATCTCGCCAAGTGGTGGCAGAAAAGCATGACCAAGCTCACCATTAAGTCCATCAAAGCAAGGGTGAAGAGGAGCGAACCAGCAGTCAGTGTGATTGAATGTGTAAAACCCTGAAAAGCATTTAAATTCAACTTGAATTTTTAAAAAAAATCATTCTGAGCTTCATTCTATCCACAAATTGCTTAGTGGAGAGCATTTCTTGCCATTTACTGGGGTGCCTGGTGTGGCTTCTTCATTCCTTCATCAGTCACAGATGCTATTGGCAAGGCCAGCATTTGTTACCCAACCCTAATTGCCCTTGTACTGAATGGCTTGCTTGGCCATTTCAGGGAGCAGCTAAGAGTCAATCACATTGCTGTGGGTCCAGAGTCACAAATGTACGCCAGACTGGGTAAGGACAGCAGATTTCCTTCCCTAAAGGAAATCTGTGAGGCAAATGGGTTTTCACAACCATTGACTTTAGTTTTGTGCTCACCATCACTGAGATGAGCATTTCAAATCCAGACTTCATCACCCATGTTCCCCAGGCTTCTATTTTCAACAGTTTCCAAGAATGAGAGGTGATCTCATTGAAACCTACAAAAGTACTTAAAGGAATAGACAAGGTAGATGAAGGTAGGATGTTTCCTCTGGATGGCGAGTGAAAAACCAGAGGGGACAATTTAAAAATAATGGAGATGCGGCAAGGATCTAAAATTAGGAGTTTTGTTCACTGAAGGTTGTGAACCTTTGGAATTCTCTACCACAAAGGACAAAGCAGACTCAGAGTCTGAGTCTGTTTAAGGTAGAAATGGATAGATTTCTGATTACCATGGCGTATCGGTTATGGTATGGGATGAGCAAAAAGCATTGAAGTGTTTAAACAGCCATAATTGTAATGAATGGCAGGACAAGCTTGAAGAGCTGAATGGCCTACTCCTGTTCCTATTTGCCTGGGCCTCTTATGACTTCCCTAGTGACATTACCACAAAACCACCTTGTCTTCCTGTCATGAAATTTTGTGGGTAAGACAGTTTTACACATGAGCATATAGAATTGGCAGCCCAGAGGTTAGATCCACCCCACATTGCATGATGGTTGGACACTCATGGCTAAGGACTTCCTCTGAATTCCCTAACTCCAATACATGTGGCCATGTAAGGATCATACATTGTAGCTGACAATTGCTTTATAGTGGAGAGCTTAACAATTGCAAGAATAGCAAAAGTAAAGAGCTTGGATGTGCTATAGTGAAAATATTCAGACCTGCCATGATGCAGAGAAACATCATGGGCTTGATTCTTGAAATCAGGGATTGGATTTTACGTAAAAAGGAAGAGGATAATCTACAAGATTTGGGGTAAAAAAAAGTCTAGAGGTTCTTCACTAGAGGACAATGGAAACATGAAATAGACTTTCAACAGGGGTCTGGGAATTTAGAAACAGAATATTATACAAATGAAGAAAAACTGCAACACGAAAGGGCACATGGATACTTGTCAACAAAATACAGGAAGCTAGCACACAGAGGCAGCAGGTAATCAGGAAGGCCAATGGAATGTTGACCATTATTTCAAGGGGGTTTGAGCATAAGGTTAGGGAGGTCTTACTGCAACTGTACAAGGTGCTGGTGAGATCATACCTGGAGTGCTGTGAGCAGTTTTGGTCCTCTTTTCTAATAAAATGTATTATTTCATTTAAGGCAGTTCAGAGAATGTTCACTAGAATGATCCCTGGTTTGGAGGGATTGTCTTATGAGCAAAGGTTAAACAGTTGGGACTCCAGCCATTGGGAGTTTAGAAGAATGAGAGGTGATCTTATTGAAACATACAGGAAATCTTAACAGGTTTGACAGATAAATGCCGAGAGGATATTTCCCCTCATGGGAGAGTCTGGGACCAGAGAGAAAAGTCTCCAATAAAGGGGCAGCAATTTAAGACTGAGATGAGGAGGAATTTCTTCTGTGATGGTTGAGAGTCTTTGGTACTCCTTGCCACAGACAGCTGTGGGGGCATTGGGTACATTTAAGGCTGAGATAGATTCTTGATCAGTAGGGAAACAGGAGTTATAGGGGAAGGGCAAGAAAGTGGATCTGAGGAAAGTTGGATCATCCATGATCCTATTGAATGGCAGAGCATGAAAAATGAGCCAAATGGCCTATTCCTGTTCTTACGGTCTTACTATGAAGAGCCTCAGTTTAAACAGAGATGAGGAGAATTCCTTTCTCTTAGATTTTGGTGGCTCATTGAGACAACTCCACAGAGATTGGTGGAAGCAAGGTCATGGAATACTTTCAAGGCAGAGGCAGAGATTCTTGACTAACAAGGGAGAAAAGGTTATCCATGAGAATGTGGAGTTGAGGCCCCAATCAATTGGCCATGCTCTTATTGAATGGCAGAGCAGGCTTGAGCTGGCCAAAATGGCCTCCTCTTACTTCGCACGGAATTTGTGAAAGAGCTGCATTTTTACAATATTCTGACGGCTTCTTTATTGGAAATCTGTCAACTACATATGTTTCAGGATCATTTGTCCAGAGCAGCAGGAATGTTAGTTTCAGAAACATAACCTCTGCAGCACTAATGCTGGAAACTAACACTGCTTCAGAATCCTGCTGAGCTACAAGAATGATTTACATTTTAATAACCACCTGACATCTGTAGAGGTTTTTTTACAGCCAATGAGATACTTTTAAAGTCTTGTGATGTAGGAAATGTGGCAACCAAGTGCAAATAGCAATCCCACACAAAATATCTGCAGTAATAACTAAATAATGTGCTTTTTTTGTGATGCTGAGTAAGAGACTATGCCATATTGCAAAGTCAATATACAAAGGGAAACAGCCTGAGAAGAAAAGAAATGGAAGAAAATTTCATTGAAGTCAGAGCCCACCGATTTTGATATCTGCATCCTTCTGTGGTGGGACCTCTGTGAAAGTCAGAGGTGACACATCACTCCACATTACAAACGCTATGGCAATGGCCTTCCTGGTGTCATCTTTATTCAGAGTGTTTGGAAACTGCACAATCCTGTGAAGAAATACAAGAGTTTCAGGTTGTAAAAGGCTTTCTCTCCAACCCATTGGTCTACAACAGTCCCACAATATTTCTCTCTCTCACTGAGAGTAATATTGACTTTGGGCACTAGTGTAATCCAGATGGTCTGGCAGGAGCCATCTGCTGCATATCTCTCCCACCTGGATATTGACTCAGACTTACTTATATTTAACTTTATTGGTTAAAAATAAATATACTTTCAAAGGAGATAGTAGGAACTGCAGATGCTGGAGAATCTGAGATAACAAGGTGTAGAGCTGGATGAACACAGCAGGCCAAGCAGCATCAGAGAAGCAGGAAGGCTTCGGGCCTAGACCCTTCTTCAGGGTTTTCTTGTTATCTCAGATTCTCCAGCATCTGCAGTTCCTACTATCT